GATCCTGGGGTGCATTAAGAAGAGCATCTCCAGCAGGTCGAGGGAGGTGATCATCCCCCTCTACACAGCCCTGGTGAGGCCACATCTGGAGACTGTGTCCAGTGATGGGCTTCCCAGTACAAGAGGGATGTGGAGCTGCTGGAGAGAGTCCAGCGCAGGGCTACCAGGATGATCAGGGGCCTGTGAGCAAAGGCTGAGGGAGCTGGGCCTGTTCAGCCTGGAGAAGAGAAGGCTGAGGGGGGGATCTGATCAGTGTCTATAAATACCTCAAGGGAGGCAGTGAGGAGGAGGGGGCTGGCCTCTTATCAGCGGTGCTCACTGACAGGACTAGAGGAAACAGCCACAAACTGGAGCACCAGAAGTTCTACAGGAACTTAAGAAAAAAATCTTTAACAGTGAGGGTGACAGAGCCCTGGAACAGGCTGCCCAGAGAGGTAGTGGAGTCTACTTCTCTGGAGGTCTTCCAAACCCACTTGGATGCAGCCCTGTGCCACGTACTCTAGGTGACCCTGCGTGTGCAGGGGGGTTGGACTAAATGATCTCTAAAGATCTCTAAAGGTCCCTTCCAACCTTAAGGATTCTATGATTCCTTGCCAATAGGACTCAAGTGATTCATCATCAGAAGGATCTATCATTGACCCACGTGACCCATCATTTAATATCTAAAAGAGGCTACTTTGAGAGGAAATCTAGATTTTAAAGATGGAGAAATAATCAACTCGGAATTGCAATTAATTATATATATGTTAGAGTTCGGTGAGGGTTTTTTTTGGTCCTTAAGTAAAAGATCAGTTCTCACAACAAATGTGGGCGAGACAGACTTAATTGAAGCTTTTTAAAATTAGAGGTAATAACATTTTTTTTGAAAAAAAAAAAGAGCTAATTTTAGACAATGTTACAGAAGTATAAGTCATACAGTGTAAGACAGCTTTAAGGAAGACATTTTACTTTAGAAGTTAACACACAGAATTGCTACACAAAACATGAAAAAACACTTCTCATCTTTGGGCCAAATCATTTAATTAGGCTTATACAGCAAATGCACTACTATTAATCTCTTTTTTCAAGGACAGTGAGCTCTAACAAGAAAGTACATGCAAGAATCCAAATAAAACACTGCTTGAATCATCTAGTTGCTTTGCAAAACAGGTCACTTTTTCAATATGAACCAAAATGGAGACCAAAAACAGATTAAGCTTATTCTGGTCAGGAGAAAATGTAAAAGCTCTGTGGCAGAGAAACCTTGCCTTCTTCCTGCTTTTGCATCTCCCCTCCCAACCCGAGATGGGTTTTCAGTTAGCTGGCAAAAGTAGAGGAAAACCACACCTCTGAATAACTTCACAGCAGTGATCTCATGATTTGAGACAGCTTAAGTAGCTGCCAAAACTAAATCCCACTCCTCCCTGTCTGTTGAAAGAATGCACTTTTTTTTCCCCTCTTGGTTGACATGCTGTTGATTTCTAACCAAACTGTGATACCATCTTAGTGGTCACTACTACTTTTGGTGATGTGCCCAAGTTTAAGAATTTTCTCTTTCAGCTATTTTGTCTATAGTGAGAGTGCCCCTCCTTGGTTTAAAAACATGACCAGATGCTTTGATGTTTTGAAATCGCTGGAGAAACACAACCTTCTTAAGAAGAAAATAAATATAGCAATACACTTCACTAATGGGTATATTGCCCTGAACATTTGTATCTCACCTTTGACAGAAGCAATTTCACACAGGAAACATGGCCTTCATAGACTGCTGATAGGAGTGGTGTGATATTATGTTTGTCTGGAGCCTGTAAATTGAGACACAGTTATCTGAATTTCACACAGTATTGAAAAGTTTCATTTAACATTTCATTCTGCAGTAGAGTGAAGTTAAGAATTTTTTAAAAGATTTCCCTCCTCAAAAGGCATTCCTTTTCTCTCACGCAAGAGATGACAGGATATAAAAAAAAAAAAAAAAAATCAGAGGAAGGAACAGACTACGTTAATCATTTCTTTGTAGTTGACAATTGTTGCCTGATTCTGATTCTCCCATTTGCCAGACAATTTATTTTCAAATACAGCATATTTTGGCTGAAAAGTTTCTTTGGATTTTATTTTCTTCTCTAAGCTATAGTTCTGTAAAAGAATAACAGGGCAACAGAAATGTTCTTGTTCTCCCCCACTCTCCCACCCATTTTGTGATAAATTAGCAGGACTCCTCAGAAAGTGCTAGTCTTTCCAGAAACCAAGGCAAAAAATCCAAGCCACTCTGTGAAGAACTAAAGTTAAGATGTTCTGTACATGAATTTTCAGGCAGACGTTCTAAAGAATAGTGTTTTGTGTTTATAGTTAACATATTTAGAAACTTTAATCGAGAGCTACATCGTTCAGGAGCATCAAAACTTTTCATGACAAAAATCATGGATGTCAAGCTACAGCTGTATGGCTAAGTATCTGCAAGTAAGAATCTCCCTCTAAAAAGAAAAGCAGGCCACTTTAAATAGTTATTTTACTCTGGAAAAAAAGAATGGATGATACCATATTCTGATGCTCCTTCCAAAAAAATGTTCACCTTTATTTACATGTGATTTGTGATTTTAAGTCAAATTAAATCTATTTTGTTTAAAAGCTGTTAACAATTTTTCATAGCATGTCCAAAAATTTAGCAATATTTTAGGAAATGTCATTGTAGTAGAACACTTCTATTTAATGTAGTTAATACTAAGAAATACTAAGTTTAAGTATAAATTTAGTCATTTACATCAATCCTTTATATGAAGAGCTTATGAAAGATTAAAAAATCATTCGAACAATTTTTGAAATACATACATTAATATCAGCTCCTTTTAATAGCAGAAATTCCAGAATTTCAAGTTGTCCACAGTCTGCTGCATAGTGTAGAGGCTTCCTCCCACCTTCAAGTGTCCTGTTAACATCTTCACCCTTCAATGTAAAAAGAATCTAGTAAGCTATTTTAATCAGGTATCACTAACCAACACCACCACCTCTAATATACTGAAGAACTTCCTATGCAAACATTTAAGTCATTAAACATTAATCCACTACTTAAGAAAAAGTAAAATCAACTTGCTTAATTTCTTTCCCCTCTTCCTCTACACCTTTAAGAACGTATGATACAACCTAAGTTTCTTCTTCCATATTGCATCTCTTACGTAGTGATTGCCCAAGTGGAGTTTCAAAATAATTCATTACAGTTTTCAGAAATGCCTGTGTTGGCTTGTTTTTCTTCAAACTGTCGTTTGTTGTCTACTTCAAGTTACTTTATCTGCTTTTACATATATATATTTTATATATATGAATATACATACACACACATATATATACGCACACATAATATTCAGGTTTTATGCACTCAGAAATAACAAGTAGAAATAAGCCTCATAACCACTAGCAAGTGCAAATATTCATAATTCAAAACCCAACTATGAAACTGTCCATTCTGTTTTATAAACAGCATCTGCCAATTCTAAAATATGACAGAAACAAAAGTTTAAATTAGGACACAGGAAGTTGTATTTTAATACCACTTACACTAGCAGATTGAGACATCACTTAAGGTGTAAAGAGAAGCTAAATGTCAGTACCTGATCAGCTTTGTTTCCTCATCTTGTGCAAATCAGAATAAACTGATTTGCTATACTTCAACTGTGACAAGAAAGCACTGGACACCAAATACTGACAAACTATGTGGTAACGGACTTTGTTTCAATTGTGCAAGTGATTTTAGTCCTCTAGAACGTGGCTATTAAGTTAGCATCTCACTTCAATAACTGCATCTCCTCAGAGACCCAAGTAGGAGAATTTCAGCAGCAGGACCAACGTGGAATCCCTCAAGTTTCATTACCCACCTCCACAAAAGCCCTTAGAAAATTCATAAAATGGAATGCTTGAAATTTATCTTCCAGTGAGTGCTGCATCCTTGCAAGGGCAGGTTATTGTCAGAGGGAAAGCTTATTCTGCATTTGATGTTCTCTATTGCAAAGGTTTTATATTGCAGGGCCGGCAACACGAACCTCTCAGAATTCTTTTTCCCTCTGCTACCAACAACAGTATATTTAGCTCCTTTCACAAAATACTCTGCTGCAAGTCTAAACAACGAAACAGTATTCAAATTCCAAGTTTTTAGCTAGAACTAATTCTGTACATTCTCTGGTTTTGGAGATCAGGATATTATGTTCTTGCATTTCTAAAGGTTCTAGCTGTGAAGTGGTATAAGACTTTAATAGAGGAAGCCTGGTAAAATACATCCTTATAACTAGTTATTGACCCTCAAACATAGATATGGCTTCAGAAGCACGCTGCATACAAAGTATGTTAGTTGTAAATTTATTTATGATTTTCAGCACCATTAAGTAGGGCTTCTAAACAAAGTCCACCACAGCTTAGCTATACTGAAGACACTCAATACTGCAACCATTAATAATGCAAAATTTCAGTATATCAGTTAAACTCTCAGCCCTCTCTGTGACGATCTTACCATTGAATGTGGTTTGGTCTCTGTTACATAAGCTTTGTAATATGGTTTATATTATCCCTTATTTTGCTTAACTTCAGGACAAATCATCAGTCTTTGTGGGAATACACTAATGTAGACTATGCTCCAAAATAATTAGCCAGATCACAATAGCCTACGAGCATAAAACTACTCATGCAAGTCTGAAAAGCATGCAGAAGCTGCAGCATACTTCACGGATCTTGTTAAGCTCTATATAAATTCTTATTTGAGACTCACCACATCCTACCAGTTATGAAGCAACTGATACATAAATAACACATGGTCTTTGCAGATATATTTGCATATCCTAGCCCTAATGTAAGAAGCCATTTAATCACTATCTGAAAACTCACTCAAAAACAATGATATCTGACATGCTAAATAAAGGATAAGCCAGCCAAATCCTAGCAGAGTATACAGTTCATAATCAGAAACTATATATTTTTTTCAAAATTAGAGAATGAAATTAGGACTATCCAGCAACAAAAAACTCTGTCCTACTTTTATAAATATTGTTTCCTTGGCTTATACGTATACACTTAACCCACAGATCTTGCTGTTCTTTCCTAAACTAGTTATAAGATAAATTCCTGTGAGACAACGAATTTAGAAAACTCAGCAGTGTTTTTCCTTAATTTTCCCTTGAAGATGATGAAAGCTTTTTCACGGGAGAGAACCTGTACGACATCTGCAAATAAAGATGCCTCAAAGAGATTGCAGAGCTGCAAGTTAACACTGAGAAGCTCTGTCAACAGCAGCCAAAGTTGAGTGATAAGTCAACTCATGCCAAAATATCATGTGCTGAAAAAAATGAAGAAGTATTCCTAGGTTCTGCAGTAAGCAGAAACAAATACCCATTTGTTTTACAGTGGTTTTCCATAGCCCTAAAAGCAGACGCCCAAATGCTATAAATATCCAGCCCTCCCTACTACCAATCCAAGACATAAGGAAGTAGGGAAGGAAGACAAAGATCAATTACGTTCATATAGAGAGATTAAATCCTGTCTAGACAGCGATGTGCAACACATTCCACATCTTAGATATGGTTACCAAAGCTATCTAAACATGATGCTGCTTTCCTTCAAGCTTAGAATGTCTAATCCTGTTGACTTCTGTTTTTGTCTTAAATAAATGAGCAATACCAAATGGAATTTCTTGCATTTTCATTTGAGATTTTTTTTTTCTCTCCAGATAAGCCAAGGAGAGGTGCTAACTTATGTGAGCAATTGTGTTTATTAATAGACTAATCAGCCATGGTTGACCACATTTTGTATAAGCAACATCTTCTCTATTTGGTGGTATCCAAAAAGTGAATGAATACATGCTGGAGAATCCAAGGATGTACAGCCTTCACAAAGCAATTATATTAATAGTAACTATAGCAACAAGCTCTAATCCTGATTCACATTTTCATAAGAACAGAAGAATGGTAAATATGAACATAATGTAAAGTTTCTCAAGTTCTCTCCAATTAACAAAAAAGGAAAACAGATGAGAAATTGCACACAACTCTGGTCAAGATACGGCTAATTATGTCAACAAAACAAGATGAAGAGGTCTCCCAGTGACATCTCCTGTTTACATATCAAGGCAAGAAACAGCTCAGGAAGCAACAATCTAGAGCAACTGAGTTCTCTATAGCTTCTGAAATTATTACATTTTGAATATCTGTCAAAAGGTATCACATTGAATGCTATAAACCTAGCATACCTGCGATCTTGCCATCAAATGACAGTTCTTATACGGACTGCACTGACAGCAAGGTGATCAGTAACATGGTAGACCGATGTAGAGACTGTACTAAATAGCTGAAGATTTTATTTAAAAACACATACTAACGCACCACAATGAGTATAGCCCATAAGTAGAGCATGATTTTCCCCTGTGTTCTCAAGAACAAAATCTTACAGGTATCAGGCAAAAAGCACAGTGATATAGCATTTCTCCCAGGAAGTTTGTAATGGAACTTCTGTCCTTTTCTAGTAACTACTGATCTTCTCGTTGCTCTTCTAGATAAGGGAATACTTTGGAAGATTAAGCCAGAGCTAAAGTTTCATATCATCTGCCAAATAAAACATGCCATCAGAGGCCAGACACTTCTTAAAAAAAGATTCCTATAGGGAAGGTAGTTCTAAGTTCACCAGAAACCAGCCATTCGTGCAAAGCTTGGGAAAAGAACACCTTTTGAAAATGAAAGAGATCACCTCTTTTAGCAGCTTTCCAGAATACACCGAGTTTGTTAAACATTTATGATTAAGTGCAGAAGAAACCACATCAGTAATGTGCTTTCCTATGTAAGACAAAGTCCTAGGGCACCAACTATTTAGCAACGTTAAGAAACGGTTCAACAGCCAGAACATCAAAACCAAGTTAGCAGGTGTCTGTTAAAACACTCTCTATTAAAAACTGATTACAGGTGAATAAAAATCTCTCCGAATCCCTAATTACCTTTCTGAATGTTGGTTTGAACAAGAAGACATCATGAAAGAGTATGTCTGTAACACACTGATTTTATGTCCCAGTTAGAAAAATGGTATATATGGATAACAGTAGAATATTCATTTGCAGGACTTAAGTAACAGCTTCAACTATCAACTTTTAGTTTGATATTAACTTTTACATGAGACACTAAAAATTCAGTTCAAAAACAAAGCAAACAAAAAAAAATCCCTCCTCCCAAAACCTCCCACCTCCCCAAAAAACCCACCACACTAACACGATTAGAGTTCTCTGAAAGCACTGTAAGCCACTTTGTGATGGAACAGTTAATACATCAAGAGATACTTTCCAGTTAACTTTCTGTGAGCACTCTCAAAATTAGACACTAGAACTTACTGCTCCTTCTATCCCTTACCAGACAAAGGATTTGAGGGGAAAACACGCTTAAGGTAAAACCTCAGTTTTGTCTATATTTTTAAATCATAAGCTATCAGGTTGTCAGAAGTGAGAAATGAAAACTGAATCACAGGAAAAAGGTCAAGAAGGTGCCTCAGGAGATTTTCTAGTCCAATTTCTGTTCACAATCAGATCAGATTGCTTAGGGTTTCGTCAAGTTCATTTCTGAAAATCTCAAGTAAGGGAGATCACACACCCTCTATAGTCAACCTTTTCCAATGCTTAAATACTGCCACAATGAAGATTTTTTGCCTTGTGTCCAACCAGAAATTATTTAATTGCAACTTGTGACTGTTGTATCTTGTCCTTTAGCTGAACAGCCACGAGAAAAGTCTAGTTCTATCTTTTATATAACTCTGCATTAAACAGTGGAAGATTGCTACTAAATCCCTGAGTTTGACTTTTTTTTTTTTTTTCTCCAAGGTCTCTAGGGCTCTCCTTGTCTATCATACAATCTACTCTCCTTGAACACTCCTCAAAAATACTACTTGTGGGAACTCACCAGCTGGATTTTGAGCTACAGACACTGTGA